TCAGGAGATGCCTTCATCTCGGCCCCACCACTTTCACAGATGCTTTTGTTGGGAACACAAGAGAGGGCCTCCTCTGTTGCTGCTCCCAGACTTTGGAACTCCCTCAGACTGCCCATATCTTTGCTATCCTTCCACAAGCAGACAAAGACCTTTAGATGCATTGTATTCTCAAAGGCTTTCACAGCTGGGATCCTATGGTTGTTGTAGGTTTTTCAGGCTGTTTGGCCATGTTCTGGAGGTGTAGCCATCATCTTCAGAGGACAGGACTTAGTACTCTGTCTGAATTCTAACTCCTGTCCTCTGGAGATGCCGGCCACAAAAACTGGCGAAACCTCCAGAACACGGCCAAACAGCCCGAAAAACCTACAACAACCACTTTAAATTGATTGTTATGCAACACTGCTCTAACTGGGTCTTTAGCACTATTTGTGTTTACCACCTCTAAGAGTGGCATTTATTTGTTCCTTTTTAGTATTTGCATACTTACTGTTTTAGCTTTCATATTGTCTTTTAAAGATGTAAGCTGCCTCTTTATACTCACTGTTCTTAGCTTTAAATATTTTTAATGATGTAAACCATTGTTATATACTCATTGCTCTTAGCTTTAAATATTGTCTTTCAAATATGTAAGCTGCCTTTTTAAAGGAGAAACGCAGGGCAAAAATATTTTAAATAATAATAAATAAATAAATATGTGTTTGGTACTCTAAGGCCACACTTTCTGCATCCCCTTCCCTTCCCTTGCTCGCAGGCCTGTTTCACTAGTGGAAGACAGACAGCTGGCCATTGAATGGGAAAGATTGTGTGGCTCTGCTGAATTGCAAGTGAGGCAGTGATGAGTGATGAAGGAGGAAGCTGCTTGCTTGTCCACCCAACTTGCCTGCTTCCTGTGTAGGTGTTGTGCTGGACACCTGAAGGGCACCTGGTGAAGGTCAGTGGAGTGCTGAGGGAGGGCAGAGGGATACCTCATGGAAATGTTTTGTGCTGCTGGCCCCAGGTGTGAAAATCACTAGTTGTTGCTCTGTTCCTAGCCACTCCTTTTCCTTCTAAGCAACTTATGCAAAATCTCAGAAACATCACTTTTTGGCCTCCCTCCCCAGAATACTTCTCTATAAAGGTTAAAAGAGTTCCTGCAAGAAGAGAGGGACCTGTAAATCTAGGTGCTATCTTTTGCTTCTGACAGGCGGATAATCCTCAAAGCCTCAGGGTGTCATCACTGTAATCCTCCCCAACCCTCTCATGGAGAACACTCCCTGTTTTTCCTCTTCCTTCAAATTTCCAAATATTCAGATAGACAGAGAGACCAGAGGAAGGTAGAGAATATTGAGTTGTTCCCCGGGAGGTCCTGACTCCTTCTGTTAAGAGGACAGTGCCCCAAGCATTGTTCAATAAGTCGCATTGGGCCAGCCGTCACCAGCCTCGCCTCTGCTTCTGTCTTCACCACAGTCGAGAAAATGTTCTTTCTTGCATGGCAACTCCCACGGTTCCCTCAGTCAAGGGGATTTCTGGGAAATGTTATCCAAAACAGGGACTTTTCTAAGCTCTGCTTTGCTTCCTCTGCAAAATAAGCCATCCGTACGTACAAGTGACAGCCCTCCAAAAAACTCACGCTTGCATGGAAGTAGTTGGCACATGTACAAAATGCTGTGTAGCGCGTCTTCCAGCGCAGGTGCAGGCCATGCCAGTTTTTAAAAATCTGAATGGAACTCACTGTCTGTTTCCACAGCTCTGCTGGCGGAAGAAAAGAAAGAAACACAGCCTTCTGTGAATGAACTGGCAGGAAACAGAATAGCTGGAGGATAAGAGACCGCATCTCTGTACGTGAGGCAGAGCACGGAGAATTGCTGCACCTGATCTGGGCCGCTCCCATCAGCATTGCAGGAGGAAGCAGCCGCATCGGCTGATCCATCTGTCTCGGGCAGCCTGCCTGCCAACCCAAACAGGAGAGAGACCAACGCCAAAATGGGCTGTAGGCAAGACAGATCACAAACAGGGTGGCCATAGTTGGTTTGTTGTTGTTCTTAACATGCTGTCAAGTTGAAACCGGTGATCCTAATTGGGTTTTCAATGTGAGATATTTAAGGAATGGTTTTACCAGTTCCACTCAACCAGTGAGCTTCCATGGCTGAGCAAGGATTCAAACCCAGGCCTTTCAAGTCACTTTAGAGACCAGCATATGTCAAAAAGCAGAAGGCAGGCAACACCAAAGGCTCAGCCCATGAAGCTGATCTGCTTTCATCTTGGATTTCACGCATGTTTCTGAGCTCTCTTGGGCCTCTTTTCAGAGTTAGGAATAGCACTATTCTCCTTGTCCTGATAAGAAAAGCAAGAGGACACATATTCCACATTACAACACAATAGGGGTCCCCCCCCCAGAAAAGCAACTTAATTTAAAGCATTGCCTTGTTGCTGTTACAGTGCCATTATTTTTGAATTGTGGCAACCCTGTGAATGGCTGACTTCCAAAGGATCCTGTCATTTACAGCCCTGCTCAGGTCTGACAAGCTCAAGGCTGTGGCCTCCTTTTTTGAGTCAATCTGTCTTATGTTTTGCCTTCCATTTCCCCCAGCCTTATTGCTTTTTCCAGCAAGTCAGATCTTGCCCTGATGGGTTCCCTCTTGGGTATACACCTTAACTTGGTGAGAGGACTCGAGTGTGTCAGAGAAGCTGAGATGAATGTCGTTGGGAAGCTAGACTCCATTAATTGTCTGGATTTCTAACAGGGTCACCCAAAGCAGACCGGTGAAAGCTGAGACTAAGACACATTCACCCTCATCAGGATTAATGGTCACATCAGCAGAAGACAATGAACGGTTCTAGTGGTGATGAGGGTAGAAAGACTCCCGGAGAGCACTTGGCATCAGCAGTCCTGGAAGGGGACACTCAAGCTGACTTTTATTGGTACTGAACAGTTGACAGTGATGATAAATTACTCCTGAATATTTTGTACCTTGAAAACCCTATGAGACATCCCAAAATGAAAAAAATGGGCGGTGGGGGGGGGGAAGCATTGTCTTAAGAGCTTCTCAGGTGTCGACTATGTGATAGATTGTAGCTGCAGAACAATGGACAAATATTCATCTTGCTTGATGGCTGAGCCAGCTCCCGTCTATTGCCTGATTTACAATGGGATTCATTCTAAGAATGAAATTATTCTGGTTTTATTCTGTGGCTGTATGTAGAGCTCTGTGCTTCGATTCACAAAAGAGCTAAACTAAGGAAGTGGTAAACCACTGCTGAGTATTCTCTACATAGAAAATCCTGAAAAGGGTCACCACAAGTGAGAATTACTTGATGGCACACAGTTATATCTTTCAGTTCCTGTTTCATCTGCTTCTGGCTTCTGAGATACAGTGGTGCCTCGACTTACGAACATCCCAACTTACGACCATTTCGAGTTATGACCAGCTCCGGCTGCAAATTTTTGCTTCAACTTGCGGTCAGAACTTCCACTTACGAACAGAAAAAGGCAGGGGGAAAAGGCGGGGAATTCAAATTGCTAACCATTGGTAGGCGAAGAGGCTGCTTCTTTGTAGCTCTCTTGCCCCAATGGTTAGAGTGCGATTGGAGGAGGCTTCAGACTGCCTGGTAAGGTAAGGTGCTGCTTTCTGCTTTTTAAAAACTTTTCTGGGTGGGTTTTGCAGCATGGTATTGGGCTGGGTGGTGGGATTATGTTTCTATGCTGTGATAGGTCTTGCAGAGTTTATTTGTTTTTTGGTTCCCCCCCCCCCATTTCCGATGAGTCTTGCATGGTTTGTTTGCTTTTTGTTCTTTGTTTTTCCCCATTTCTGATGGGTCTTACGGGGTTTGTTTGGTTTTTGGAGTTTTTCCACCATTTTCAACGGGTCTTGCACAGTTTGTTGCTTTGCTTTTTTTGCATTTCCAATGGGTCTTGCATGGTTTTTTGTTTTCTGCTTTGATTTTTTTTTATTTCTGAAGGGTCTTGCACAGTTTGTTTACTTTCTGCTTTGCTATAGTTTTGCATTTCTGAAGGGTCTTGCACGGTTTGTTTGTTTTCTGCTTTGATTCTTTTGCATCTCCAAAGGGTCTTGCATGGTTTGTTTGCTTCCCCCCCCCCCACTTCGGCCAGAACGGATTAATCAGGTTTCCAATGGGTTTTGCAGTTTTTTGTGGAGGTTTTTTGTGATTTTTTTCTTCAGCTGGAATGGATTAATTGCATTTCAATGCATACCTATGGGATATGGTGCTTCAACTTATGACCATTTCGAGTTACGACCGGAGTTCCAGGACCAATTAAGTTTGTAAGTCAAAGCTCCACTGTAAATGATATTGTGATTTTCAACACCATCTCCATCAGCTTTGAGCTCTGTTCCAGTCCAGGAAGGCTGAGTGTCCAGGAAGTAATTAGTACCTGCTAGGAATTCTACAAAGTACATTATCCTAAAGCTGTTTTAGTTATATTTGCATCTGTCTAATAGCAATTGCTATTAGATACAAGATGGGGGAGTCACCATGTGACTGTATTAGTGAGACCAAAGAGTTGTTCAGATATCCAGCAGGTGTGCTATACATGCTACCTGTGGTGCTGAATACTTGCTTGTAGAGAAATATTAAATCCAAATAGCAGAAAGAGGGACCATTTGGAAAAAGGATCTGAAACATAGCCGATGCTAGAATAAGGATGTCTCAAAGCTGGTCCTACAATGTAACAGACGCTCATGGAATCACTAGAGGACTCTCTCTTGTGCTTCTTGTATGTTTTTGCTTTCTATTCAGCTTTTACTATCTTTAATCTCCATACCATTTTTGTTCTCCACTTAAACCTGTCCTTTTGACCAATGATTCAGTAAACCTTAGTTAACAACTCAACACTTGGGTGACACCTAGTGACGTTCATGTATTCTGCACACAGTGTTGTATGTCTCAACACTGATTGTTACTATGTTTTTACATGATTTACCTTACATCATTAATGCTTTGTTCTCCCTAAACAAATACTGACAATTCAAAAAGAAGAAGAAGAATCTGAACGTCTGCTTAAAAGTCAAGAATGACCAGGAGACTGGCAAGCACTGAGAGACACTTCCATGGGCATCACTTTGAGGCCACTGGAGACACAGCGCAGAGCAGTGTATGTAGGAGGTGTGCATGGAGACAGCCTGGCTGGGAACTCACAGCAGTGAGTTGAGATGGGCTAGGTAAAGCCACAAAAGTTCAGGTAGGTCTCTGCAGGCAGGCAGGAGGAAATTTTATGGAACAGCAACATGGTGGTACTAGCAAGGGCATCCTACATTGTTTTGAAATTTACACTGTTCTGATTAAAAGGGTCTAGAGGGGCAAAGGTTGCTTCCCCAGAATCTTCCCTTCTGGAGTCTTTGTCGTCTGACCTAAGGTGGAGGACTACAAGGAGAGGTCATTTTGCAAAGCTTTGGAAAATTGCTTCTTTTGGACTACAACTGGCCTTACTGGCAAAGGAATTCTGTGGGTTATAGTCCAAAAAAGTACGGTAAGTTTTCCAAGACCTCAACTTGTGTGTTGTGACAAGCTCTCTCCTCCTCAGAGTTCCTAAGGTCTTGTAAGCACTTGACAAGTAACTTGCTTTCTCTCAGGCTTTGCACCTGTAATTGCTTTTAGTGCCTTGATTTACTTTATTTCCAGTTTTTAAAATATTGTACAAATAAGATTGGAGGCGGCAGCAGTGGTAGCAAAGAGGGAAAAAAAAGATAAAGAAGCTGTGTATGCATTGAGATGGTACAGAAGAAACAAGAAGGAATGTCAGGATCAGGCTGTGCCAGGTTTGAAGCTGTTCAGCAGTAAAGGGTGTAAAAGGTATGACCTGTTATCATGTCCATCCTCCTCTTCCCTCAAATAGATGCATCTCCCAGCTCAGCTGGATAAGAATCAAATAGGTGCTAGGGTGGAAGATGGACTTGACTGTGCATTCCACACTCAGAAGGAAACACTCTCTTATCTAGCCTGCCTCCTCTAATATGAGCCTCTGCGTTATGTTCTTTCTCAGGCTGTGGAGTAAACCTTCCGTCGAATCACTTGTGGAATACTGGTAGCTGGTGATTATTCAGATACCTGGCCAAAAGCTTACAAAAGCATTATCCGCAGAGAAGCAGAAAGAAGCAAGAATCTTCCCCTTTGCAAGAATCAGGCAGTTCTTGTGTCCTGACGTCTAAGCTGCCATTTTCCAGGGAGAATATGGAATAACTTCAGTTGATCAAAAAGAACAATTCCCTTCGCCCTAGCAAGCAGGGGTCATGGACAATGGATGGTGTAGTCCAAAACAAGTGGAGGGACCCAGATTGGGAAAGGCTCCTGGGTAGGACAAGCATCAAGAAAGGAAAACCAGATGTCAGTGCTGTTATTCTCATCATATAACAGTCATTTCAGAATTTCCAAGTGACATTCCAGGTGAGAAACTATGGTTTCATCTCAGGCCACAAACCAGGATGGGATGAAAATGGAAATAAAAGTCTCATTTACCAAACTCTTCCATTACAGCATACAAGACAAGAAAGGAAAGCAACACATGCGTTTATTAGACTGAGATAATTATATCTAAACTGGGCCTTGGGTTACAATATTAATCCCAAAGGAAGATGGAACAAATGTAAAAGGTCTTTTTTGCTGATCAATTTAGTTCAGGCAGTCGGATTCTTCCACAACCTCCTTCCCACAGAAACCCCTGTGAAACCAAACCTTTGCTAGATACAGTCCTGGCAGGTCTAGAAAAATACTATTTAAAGACTCCGTTCTCTGCCTTCAAAAATATGTTGGGCTACAGCACCCATCAGACATAGATGTCATACTGAAAATGGGATCTGTAGTTTAACACATCCATAGCTCAGCAGCTGAGGACAGCAGGTTGGTTTCTAAGATTATATGGGGTAGTTTAAAGAGATAAATTTTAAGATTGCTTTTAAAAAATTGGAGTCCTTCCCACTTTGAAATTGCCTCCAGATGATAATAAAAAAGATCTGGTAGAGGTTGGCTCTGAAGGAAGCAGGATAGAGATTATAGGAAGATATTCACTACTACAGCTACCATTTTAATTTTAGATCATTATTAGACTGATCAAATTGAAGGGTACATCACCCAGCTATCTTTCCTGGGGTTACATTTGATGAAAGAGAAACTGGCAGTGCAGTCCTATATACATATTTCCTAGGAGGTAAGGCTGGCGGAGTTCAGTGGTGCTAACTTTCGGGAAATGTTAGTCTTAAAACTTCAACAGAAAAAGAGCACTAGCGGATAGTGCTGGGGGGCAAATTCCTCAACAAGTATGAAAAGTACACAACTCAGTTCCATGCAAGAGCCTGCAAAATGTCTGCAAAGTACACAACTTGGTTCTGTGTGATGTCTTATAAAGTATCTGCAAAGTGCACCTCTAAGTTCCATGCATGAGTTTGCAATGTCTATAAAGTAAACCCCTCAGCTCCATGCATCAGCTTCCAAAACATCTGTGCAGGACAAATCTCAGTTCCATGCCAAAACTTGCAAAGTGTGGAGAAAATATGCATTTCTGTCCCATGCAACAGCCTGCAGAGCTTACACATATAACTGGAGGACAACCTCACTGAATTCAGCTGGACATACTTTTTGATACTTAGTACTTTGAGGATGGTTTCCTCCCTTCATTTTATACCTCATAGGATGTTAGTGTAGCTTTTTCCTTGGCAATGAAAAGGAGAGGAAACCTAAGCTGGTCGCACTGATTTTGTTGCAGTGAAATATTGATCTTCTATAATGTTAAAGGGATTTGTTCATTTGTGAAGTTGTTTTTACTCTGGCAAGCTAATTGAGCATAAGATCTTTTTCATTCTTAGGTTCCCAATGTGATTAGAAAGAAAATATTCAGCTTGGCAAGAACCTAAAGTTATCTCACATGCAAGAGAAATTCCAACAGTTCTTACTATCCTCAAAAAAGCAAACTGCACTGCAGTTTTAGACACATGCATGTATGTTTGGATTTAATAAAATTAAAAACAGAATTACCAAATTTGGGGAGGGACTTCTCTGAACAGCTCAGAATTCCTTTCACTGCAGCAATCAGTAAGTTAATATTTTCAGTGTATAGGAACATGACTGCAAAATCAGCCATTAACATCTGTGTCTCAAGCCAGTGCAAAACATTTAGGTCCATAATAATCATAGAACCATCAAATAATTTAGTTGGAAGGGGCCTATAAGGCCATCAAGTCCAACTCCCTGCTCAATGCAGGAACACAAATCAAAGCAGATCTGACAGAGGACTGTCAAATTTTCTCTTGAATGCCTCCAGCATTGGAGGGCTCACCACCCCTGAGGTAATTGGTTCCATTGTTGTACTGCTCTAAGAAGTTTGTTCCTGATACTCAGTTTAAATCTGGCTTCCTGTAGTTTCAGCCCATTATTATATGTCCTATACTCTGGGGTGATCAAGAAGAGATCCTGCCCCTCCTCTGTAGTAGTAGTAGTAGTAGTAGTAGTAGTAGTAGTAGTAGTAGTAGTAGTAGTAGTAGTAGTAGTAGTAGTAGTAGTAGTAGTAGTAGTAGTAGTAGTAGTAGTAGTAGTAGTAGTAGTAGTAGTAGTAGTAGTAGTAGTAGTAGTAGTAGTAGTAGTAGTAGTAGTAGTAGTAGTAGTAGTAGTAGTAGTAGTAGTAGTAGTAGTAGGTGGTGGTGGTGGTGGTGGTGGTGGTGGTAGTGGTAGCAGTAGTAGGAATAAGAATATGTGCCATCAACTCAATTATGATTTATGGTGCCCCTTTCACAATTTTCCAGGTAGCAAGTACTCGGAAGTGGTTTACCATTTCCTACTTTTTGGGTGCACCGTGGGACTGTGCAGCTTGCCCAAGTCCACACGGGCTGGCTCTACTTGCAGGATGCACAGTGGACAATTGAATAACCAGACTGAAAAGCTGACTAATCAAGAAGTAGATTTACATGCTTTTTCATTATGATTCAGATGAAGGGTTCTTCCCTCTTTAACTACAAGTCCTAGAAATCCTTAGCCAGCATATTTAGTGGGGTCAGCATGCTATGTAGGGGCTTCTGGGAGTTGTAGTCTTAACATGTAGCAGACCAGATGACAGCCTACTCAAGAAAGGGCATAAGTATTTTTACGACAGGAGTCTTGTTCCAAGACCTTCATTCGCTGCGCAGACTGACCCAGTCAATCTACGCTTGCAGCAGTTCAGTTCTAAAGCAGGGTGTGGCTGCCAGGGCATTAGAGTTTGCCAGCTGCTGGGCTGCAGGCAAGGAAGTGCTCTTCTTGCAAAGTTTGAACAGCCCTCTCTGGATAAGGAGGGCTCCAGGTGAGGGCCTGGCTGCTGGCACAGAACCTATCCTCAAAACAAAAACAAAGGGAAGCAGCCAGGAAAGGGTGGAAAAGAGCTACGTGAGCTTTCTCAGGGAGACCCAATCTTATTAATAAAAGCTGCTTCTTCCCAAGTCCTTGATAATTCTCCTGCTACGGATTATTTACAGCTGTGGAATTTAATACTCCAATGAACAAAGCTTCCCAAGGCATGCCAGAGAAAGCAAGTGAGAATGTGAGAGGTCTGAGTGTTGTTAACCCCTCAGAGTGCTCGAGCGCCCAGGCTAAATCACAAGGGCCTTGCCACTCAGCTCTCATCACACTGGGTCAGGTGGCCAGATTTCTTCGTCTCGTTAGGGCTCCCAAGGCTTTTAAAGAGTTTCATTATATATAACTTATTGGCAAAAAAAGCATTTCATTCACTACCCCCTCCCCTCAGATCACACATTCTCCATTCCATATAGATTCTCATGCTATTACTTCTAGTATTCTGATCCTGTGAAGGCAAAAGGGAGGAGAGAAAAACAAATGACACTTTCCAAATTTGAGGTATAATATCATTGTTTTAAAAGACACTGTCCAAAGCAACCAAACAAGCAAAGAATATCCTTAATGCCCTTAACCCCTAAAGTTCATCAAAGAGACCTAACATTCATTCCATTTGCAGCTCTTCTCAGGCTTGCTTGACACTCATTTAGCCACCCACACAGGGAAAAGTGAGGTTTCCTATTTTTTTTTTCTGACAGTGGTCCCATCCCTTTCAAGAGGCAAAGAATTCAACCATTCAAATTGATCAAATCTGCAATCTTAAATGTTTGAAATGTTTTATGCAGATTTTTATTTTCTGGCTGGACTGTTTATTTGTATTTTATAATTTATATTTTCTATTCTATTAAACTGCATTTTAATTATGTTGTTTGTATATGTTGTAAACTGCCCAGAGTGGCCTTTGGCCAGATGGGCAATGTAAGAATGAAATGAAATGAATGAATGAATGAATATGGATGGAAGGATGAACAGAACCAACCAACCAACCAACAGCAGTTTTTCAAACTGAAAACCCCTTCTATGTTGAGTCAAGGAGTTAAATTTGTTTTGATGTCTTGGGGGGTGGGTCCTTCATATGTGGATAGTGCATACTAGTAGATTGATATCTTGTGGGAGGGTAATCATTTTGGGTGTGGTAGGCATAGTACAGCTGGGCTTTATTTTGAAATTTAAAGTGGAGGAAAAGTGGCATATTATGAAAAGAAAATGAAATTGGAAAGTTCTCTGTTTGTATCAAAAGCATCTGTTGGCAGAGGTCCACAGGATATGAGATACTTACATTACTAAATGATCATCATGTAATCCACAGTATTAAGCTTTTCTAAAAAATGTTTTTGATAGTCAATGTAAAAAGGGAAATCTCAAATGAAACACCAAGCACGCAAAATAATGTTATTGTTTCTCTCTTTGTATACTCTTTCAGTGGCATTGTCATGGCTGCATGTGGAGGCATCCATCTTGGGGATGGGCGTGCCCTGTGGTCTGCCCAAAACAGAGGAAGACCCAGTTCTCCAACCTATCAGATTTTGGAAGAGTCCCTTTATTAGACTATGGCTCCCAGACCCTGGCTAAAAACATCACTGGCATGTGAAATGGTGTTGCCACCCAACCCAGTACAACTGCTGGCAGCCCAGAGCAGAGTGCTGAAGCTATTCTATTCACTGGCAAAAATAGTTCAGATACTAAAACAAAACTGTACAAACAAAAAAAACCCCATCAAAACCACACTATAGTAGTATTATTTTATTTCCTTTTTCATTCTTCAGTATAAATTGTGCTGATGCAGAAAATTTTCAACTGAGGCCTACTCTTCCTTTTATCAGCTTTTAATTTAATTTCTTTTATGTTTTAATTGCATTTGTTTTATCTGAGGAATGTTGTTAGCAGCATTGAGTGCTATTTTTGGGGAGAAAGGAGGAGTATAAATCCAATAAATAAATATCATGGAAATATTCAGGTCTCTGAGTAAATAAATCCAGTAACCCTTTGAACCCTCATCTCCAGCTTACACCAGACTATCCAGTCACCCCTATACATAACAATCAGGTAGAGACTCAACCTTTTGGTTCTTGTGTGCTTACCACAGACTTCCCTTTAAATAATCGACATCTTTCCCTTAGACTCAGGAGGCCTCCCAACCTAAGATTCTTCCCCTTAGCCTCTGGCTCTTTTTGTCTTTCCAGAGTTGCCTGTGGCTTGGGAACGCGCTGACAGAGGTAAATTTGGGCTATTTAGTGTCAATCAGACTTAATACAATCTCTTAGAAAGCCTCTTTGCCATTCATCTAAAGATTTGTTATTCCTGTGCCAAAGCTGCCCCCTAGTGTCCATTGAATGTCTTTATTACACTTGATTAATTTTTAATTTTGCTATTAAAAAGACACTTTCAAACAGTAGCATAATACCCTTCAATAAGCTACTCACAATCCATTAGGAGAAAACATCAAGCCATAGGCTCTGGATTTGCCTTGAGAATCACACTAAGGAGGAAATCCTTCCTCCTCACCAGTCAAGCAATTCTTGAAGATTTCTCCGACTTCCCTTTTGAAGATTTTGAAGAACAGCCACGCACATTTCCACTTCACACTAATCCAGCACCTTGAAACCTTACTCTTTTCAGTAACTCCCAGAATTCCCCAGACAACTTAGGTGGCTGAGGAACTCTGGGAATCTTTTAACGAAGGTCACTTTTCCAAGCTCCTCACTTAACCAGAAGCCTAAGTCAAGTCAGCAGACCTTGACTGTAGACAGGCCTGTCTCCTCTGCTCACTGAGAAAAGAAAGCAAAACAATTGCTGGGATGGAAATTTTCAATTTTCTGTTCTTCTTAGGGGGTATATTTATTTATTTTGAAATATTTCCTAGCATCATGCTCCTTTCTGAAGCAATTCTGATGAAAACTGTAGGTGGGCCCCCTAACAGGAAAGTATTTGCTGAGCTGTTTGACATACTTGAAAGATATTAAGCTCTTAGTTTAAGGATTTATTCAAAATATTGCAAATAAAATATCTCTCTGTGCTAGGATTAAAGTACTGTAGGTTCCATTGTCTTGTCTGATTTTGCTGCTCCCAGCCCTACAGGAGAGAAATAAGATTGCAGTGTAGTATTTAATATCTCAACAGCAGGAGCTATTCAGCTCTGAAAAAAGTTATAACCCAACCAAATCAACACTAAAATTGGTGAATTGAACAGCTGTCTTCTAATCCTCTGTGGCAATCTGACCTGAATTTCCTTGTATTAGAAACAAAGCTAATGAATCTTCAAAGGTGTCAGAAGATGTTGCCAAGATTTTTAGTCATCCAAATAGTGTAATCGATCGATCGATCTATCGATCTATCGATCTATCGATCTATNNNATATCAAATCTAAATGCAGTGTAAAATCATAACAACATATTACTAAAAAACACAATGATCCAGATGGGAGAAGGCACAAAAAACAAAATTAGATGGTGGATGGAGGAAAAGCTTGCTTGAACAGCCAGGTTTTCAGTTGGCATTTGAAGATGCCCAGGGAAGGGGCCATGCGAATCTCAGGAGGTAGGCTATTCCAAAGATTTTTCATATTACCAAAAATAATTCATTCAGAAATCAAAACTTAGGGATTCCTGTTTCATCAGTGTATCTAATACTGTCACATAAATAGATGCAAGCTGCAAAAGCTAGAGAGGCAAGACAAGAAATAGGTCAGATTGAATGGCCATTAGTCTTTAATTGTTCCTCCAAACACAAAACCTCAGAGATTTCAGAGTAACATGTATTGAATTCAAAACCAGCCATGCAATGCTGGCAGTTGAGAGCTGGATCCAAGAGATGAACACTTTGGGAAGTCTGTGTTGTTTAAGTTTAGTAAAAAGTGGATGTGGCAGTCGTCAAGGGACAAACATGATGGCATGTGGTCCTTAGAGGAGCATACAGGCCTATCGTTATCATTAGTAACAGAATTAAATACAATTACATGGCACCAAGTTGATTTCAAGTTATGGAAGCTACCTTTTCCAAGGTGTAAAGTATTAGGAAGTGGTTGACCTGTCCTTCCCCTCCCCCCCCCGGGTACATTCTGGGACCCTGAAGCTTGCCCACACAGGTTGGCTTTTCTCCTTTTAGGTACAGCAGGGAATCGTCAAACTCTGGCCGCATGGCTAACATGACAGCACAAGAAACTGTTACAATTTGGGGGGAGAAGCAGATAGCCGTGCTGACCTGCTGCATTAAAAACAACAAAAAGCTTTATGATCACGTAAAGACTAATGTAAGCTTTTGTGGACTGTAGCCAACCTGCCAATAATTCATCAGAACATCCCTCCCTTAGGACATTAGCCCATCCCATCCGTTGTTTCCAGGCCTTGCCGAGAGAGGCTAAGACTGGTGTCACCAGGAATCATGCCTTCTTGGCCATGGCTCCTACCTTATCGAATGAGATCCTGGTGGAAGTGTGTCAGGCCTCCTCCCTCCCTTCTTTTAGGAGGAAGCTTAAGACCCTACTGGTTCAAGAAGCTTTAAAGCAGGCTTGTCCAACCTGTGGCCCAAGGGCTGCATGCGGCCCAGGTCAGCTTGTAATGCGGCCCAGTGCAATTTTTTATTTTTAAAGAAATTCCAAAGTTTCAAGATACACTGCTGGCGCTTGCAGCCGGAATGTGGCCGGGGCATGTCACAACAGTAGAGGGGGAGAGAGGGAAGGAAGGAGTGGGAGGGGAGGGGACACGGGGGTTGTGTGACTGCATTGTGCCGTCCCTGTCAATAGGTGGACCCCCTCCCAGCCCCATAAAGCCGTCGGAGTCGAAGCTGGCAGCCTCTGCTGTCTGAGATCACAGCTGCCGGTAAGTGCACTTGGAGCGGGGCTGCGGAGGACGGCTAGGGCTGCCCCGCCATGCGGCCCGAACCAAATGTATGTGCGGCCCAAACCAAATTTCCATCTTCTAATGTGGCCCAGGGAAGGTGAAAGGTTGGACACCCCTGCTTTAAAGGGCATCTTCCCTCATGTTATTATACAGGTGTTCCCATAGTCCATCATCATGTAAGATCTTAATTATTGTACAGTACTTGTGTTCTTAGAATTGTCTTTTGTTGATGTGTTGATGTTTTGGGTTGTTTTTGTTTGTAAATTACTAGAGTACCGTTATACACTAAGCAGTATAGAAATATACAAATGAAGGCAGGCAGGCAGGCACAGCCTTTAATTTGCAAGACCTGAACAGGGTTGTTACTGATAAGATCTTTTAGAGGTCACTATTTCAGAGCCACTGTGACTCCGAAAACAATTTGATGGCCCATAATATAGCCCATCCACATCTGAACAAGTCCACTATAGCCCATGAAAGCTTTAGAACAATTTGTTGCTACGTTTATTCTGATTCTATTTATATTGCATAAATGCACCTGTGGGGCTATCTGCCTCAGGTGCCAAAGTAACTTAGCTGACCTCGGACACAAGGTCCTCTGACTCTGTGGGAGAGGTCTTATTTCCTGCTTTTTCTCAGGCAGCAAAACATCTTGGAGCGGCTCTGCCAACATTCAAAGAGATTCTATTAGCAGAAACAGGTAGATCCAGAGCCAGGATTTAATGGGCCCTAGGAAATGGGCCACTAGAGAGCTCCCCTGCAGCCACTCTAATCCTCTGGTACTCCCTCAATGTGCTGCAGGCCAGGCAGCTACAGTCACTATGATCTTTACTCATGACCCAGAGAATGTTGCAGATAGGCCACTAAGAATAAATGAGGGTTCAGTAATAATTAAAAGAAGTCATCCGGTGTTCTTGTGGGGCTCCCAAGGGCCATGGACCCCAGCATTTGTTCCATCATGCCAGGCTTGGAAAGTGCTTGGATTTCCATTTCAAAATGGTTCCAATACCTTTTCACTTACAATCTTTGTAAATTTTCTACTCACAGAATCATGGCTGACTCCCAAAAACTATTAAAAGCCTTTAAATGTTTTCTAATGTATGCCACTTCACATTTCATTTTGAACCAATTTAATTGCAACCTCCTGTCTCCTTCCCCTCCATGCCCCCCTTCTCAATACATCTAATGTTTTATTTTTTATTGTTTCAACTATATACCATCCCATAGTGCTAGAGCACTCTCTGGGTGGTTTACAACCTAGCCTCAATAAACATAAGCAACATTGTCAAGAAGAGTGGGCCAAGATTCCTCCACAACAATGTGAGAGACTGATAAAAGTCATACAGAAAACGATTACTTCAACTTATTGGTGCTAAAGGTGGTTCTACAAGCTACTGAATCATAAGGTGTACTTAGTTTTACACACACAGCTTCTCCATTTTGTTAAATAAATTATGACATGTTGTTCATCTGAGTTTGTATTTACCCCCAAGCCTCTTTGTTCATATTGTTGTTCATCTGAGTTTGTATTTACCCCAAATCCTCTTTGTCTCACAGAATTCAAGCATGGAAGAAATCCAATCGCTCTAAAGAGCAGTGGCAAACGCAGACATAGTAGAACTGCTGGATAGCTCAGTGGTTTAGGTATATGGCTGTGGAGCCAAAGGTTGGGAGTTCAATTCCTCACTGTTCCTCCAACAGCAGTATTACAACTAAAATTGTCAGTGTGTACAAGTGCTCTAGCATCACCATTGAGCAATCCATACCAATGGCCTTCAGGGAGGTATACAATTTGGCTCAAAAAATCTGTGTGGATAGATCAGCATAGGGATAGACAATGCACAGTCCCCCATGGGCCCATATATAATCACTGTAGCACCTTCAACCTCCCCACTTATGTAAAAAACATAAAAATAAAAATGGGGCTTAATTTGTGCCCTGTGGGGGCATGGGAGAAATTGTGTCATGTTTTGAGAAAGGTCACCCACTTTGTCAATTTTTAAATGTAAATGAAATTTGGCCACTAGACAGCACGAGTGGGCCTTTCCAGATTAAAAAAAATGTTAAAATACATTTTTGTACAGAAACCGCTACGGTGTGAGGAGAGAGCAGGCTTCTGGGCATATATAACTTCCAGGCATCAAGAG